GGAAAGAGAATTATTAATAGTTACAGTTGTTGGCAAGCTGCATATTATCACTCCAGTTTAATTTATTAATACTTTGTATCTTTCATTTGGAGATCTCCAAGTGTTTTCCAGAGTGTTTGGTCAATCATCATTATTAACCCTGTCTCACTGATGGAGAAATTGAGGCAAGTGTAACTGGCAGGAGAAGCCAGGGATATTATTCTGTGTTGGGGTCAGTGGATGGTACCATTATTGGTACTTTCTGTTACAAAATCCTGTTTGACATTACTTGGATCTTTGCCCACTTTAAATAGTTAGGCTAAAATTTCCACATCAGTTGTTTGCCTCAGGCTGATTTTTTTGTCCACAAAGTTTCACCAGAAATTGTTCTGCCATTTCCAAAAATGAGGCTAAGGGGAAAATATAGTGTTACACACATTTTTTAAAAATCTCATAGCTGCTTCCTTGAGAATGACTGACACCTCAGTGCTTTGGATCAAGGACCTCAGATTAGAGTGTAGGTGGGGGCACCTTGGTGTGAAGGATCTAACTTTTGTTTTCCCCCTGACAAGCTGCCCATACTTGGCCAAGATGTTAGCATCTGGGGAAAAAGAGGTTTGCACATGCTCAGTAGAGACTTGTTAAGGTTTTGACAGCTAAATTCTCCCAAAAATCCATCTGTGCTGATGCTCCATCCCAGGACGGCACAGGCTGATCAGGGCCTTCTCACCAATTGCTGCTCCTGGGACAACGAGTCTCTTCACTGCTCTCAGTGCTCCCTTTGCTGGTACCCAGAGGACGCGTCTACACAGGTGCATTTACTGTGCAGTAACCAAAATTACTGCACAATACGGGTGTGTGTCTACAAGTGCATGCCTGTACTGCACAGTAAATATGGCGCCTTATGTCAACTTGAGTGTAAATTTGATACCTGCATCATGCAAGTATAAAATCTATGTCCAATTAATTACTGAGCAGTAATGCATTACTGTGCAGTAACAGTGTGTGTGTGGACTGACTTGGGACTAACTTTCGTCCTAAATCAGTCCACACATAGCATTAATGCGCTGTAACGTCTGCACATGTAGACGCCGGTCTATTCCTGCTTACTGAGCAGTAACTTACTGCGCAGTAAATTTAAGCTGGTGTAAATGCACATGTGGACATGCCCAGAGAGTGCAAAGAAGCCAGCTCTTTTGTGCAGATTCACAAAGATATATTCTTTAATTAAATGGTCACTTGCTATTTTTATTGCAGGATCATGTCACAATCAGTGTACAGACTAGACCTGCTCTGTGCATGAATCAGGGCTATGTAGCAAAGGGAGCTATTGTCCATTATCCTTATCTCATTGTTGCAGAAGCTGGAAAATGCGTGCAGTGAATGTGGCAGGGGAGTGAAGGAGGAAAAAGTGTGACTGGATGATTAAGGGAGTTGACTTCTGTCCTGGAAAGCTGGATTCTATTCCTATCTCTGTCACAGAGTTTCTGTATGTCATTGTGTGTGTTCCTACAGCTGAGCAATCACAGCTGTGACTAAAGTTAGTAAGAAGTATGCTTTCAGTATCTGAAATGCTAGCAGATGTTGAGCACTCTGGGAAGCAAGCTTGCAGGTACCTCAAACTGGATATTTAAGACTTGCAGATGCTTCTGACTGTAATTCTTCTGTGCCTCAGTTTCCCATATGCAACTGCTGTGATTTTGAACGGCCATAGAAGATTCCCCTGAAGTAGCTTCACCCCCGCTATTTCTAGGTTTAGTATATGAGAGCAGGATGCTCAGAAGCATTCCCCTGCCCCCAAGAGAGCCAGGGAAGAGGTTGCAGACATACCCTGTGTGTAATTTCCTCTTCCTTAATCATGATCTTCATCTGGTACAGTCATTTACACCCATGCAAAGCCAGTGCCCAGTGGTTGTAAAACATTACCAAATTAGGAAGACAGCTTCTTGCACTCACTTTGCACCAATAAAAGCCAGGGCACAAGATTCAAGGCACTAAAGAATTAGGCCCTGTGTGAAAATATTTGTGTGGGGGTGTGTGCGCCCAAGCATTTGCATGCTGGACTTCGATACTATATCCCTTTGCAGGGCATTTCCAAGACACTAGTGAACAAATACAGTGGTATTATTTTTGCTCTGTCCATATAGTTCGATCCTCCATGCACTGTTATACACAAGGCAGAAAGTGGCTTTTAAAGAAATGATAAAAAACTAGAAGTTAGTTGCAGAGGAACTTTAATGCACCCTGGAGTTGTGAGGCAGAATACTTGAGATCTACTTTTCTAACTTAGGGCAGTTGACTTTGCCTTGCTGGAAGACATCTGGGAACGATCTGGTAGCACATGGAAGGGGGGTTTTCTGGAGAAAATAACCCTGTTACCTGTAATTGGAAGGTATGAGGAATTACTGTGGAAAAACAAGCCCTCCGTGTTGGCTGTAGATTCCTTAGCAATCCTAAGGGGGCTGTTATCTTCCCTTGGCCTTGACAGCACTTGTGCTGTCCCGGTGAAATCTGCTTCTTGAGATGCACTGCTTGGTGTGCATACCCATCTTTTCTTGCTGCTGCCTGTTCTTTGTCTGCAGTCCTCAGAAGTTCCTTGGGGACCGGCCTTTCTCAACTTGTCTTGCTCAACTAGCATCTTGACCACTGGAGATGTATGAGTGACGTAGGCTGGCCAGTGGCGACAGCTGGGGATTGAATGGCTGGGGAGGCCTATGTTCACCGAGTATGAACTCTGTTCTGGAATCCAAGAGATAAAGACAAATTTAGAATGTAGCAACCCCACCCAGCTCCATCCTTGCTTCCTCAGGCAGCTTGAGGGGGAGGAAGAAGAGGCATGAACTCTCAACAGCACACACTGAAGTCCACATATCAAACACTGGTTTTCCAATATGGAAAGAGCTAGAACCCACAGCTGCAATGAAACCAGTCAGGGCCTGGACAGAGAGAGGTAGACAAACAATCCCATACCCAACTCCTACTGTGCTTCAGGACTGCCATTACTGGTGCTGCTATCAACACCTGCACTGCAGCAGTGTTTATGCTGGCCAGGTCAGCTCTCATAGAAGACTTTTCCTGGTTTGCAGTTTTACTGAGCTAGATTAGGGAACTAGGCTGCCAGGAGGATATGAAGATGGAACAATATCCCATGCAGCAGGAGAGGAAGTACCCCTACTTGCATCACCAGGTGTAAGCATCTTTCTATGGTTGGCAGTTCTGCCAAGGCCCCATCTTCTCCCCACTATCTTTGGCTATTTACTTACTGACTTATCCCCCATGTCATGTTTCACCCATTATGTTCTATAAGGAAGCTTTCTATTGACTTACCTAAGACCCAGTGGTATCTAAACAATTAGTATGTACCAGCACGGGCTGCATAATTATTCCTAATAGCAGTATGTCACAGGTAGTATGGAACTGAGGTCAAGCTGGGGCCATCACATATAAATTAACAAAAAGGAAAAGGTAAAAAAAAATTGAAATAACAACAACACCTATGTCATTCCTGAAGCCTGAGGTCACAGAGAATAACGAGCACCATCTAAACCAAAAGGAAAGTCTTATTTCCCAGCTTTTTGTTTGAATCTCCAGCCAACATTTTCTTCTCTGATATCACAAGCCAAAAGACTGGAAGAAAGTGCTATAGGGATTGATTGATTCATTCTCCATCAACATGCACAAGCAAAGGGGAAATTGCATAGGAGAGAAAATCCAAAGAAGATTGCAAATCAATGAAAAGTAATGAAGACAACATTAAACAGCCCTTGAGAAATACCAGGCTTTTGCTTTGCTTTATACTGTTAAATTTAAGCCTGTCAAAAAACTAGCTTGTTTTTGTTCGGAAACAATTATTCACTTAGGAATTACCCAGCTCATGAGTACACAGAGAGTTTGTTGTGTGTGTTTAACTTTTTTTTTAAAGAACGTTGCCTAATAAATTACAATAGCTATGTAATTATGACTAAATTAAATACAGGAGTTGAATATGCTCCTGCTAAAAGCACAAGCAAGGCACTTAGGATGGATAGGGAAAAAACTGCCTTGGTTCCCAGGTACTTGGCTAAAATACCGGGAGTTCCCACAATAAAGACAGTCAAAACTTGATTGGATTAAGTATTGATGAACAGACAGATGGCAAAAAAGTGACAGTGGGCAGGAGGATGGAAGAGATGATCTAGAACAGGGCAATCCAACTAGCAGCCCCCAGGCCACATGCAGCCCACTAGGGTTAAGTTGTAGCCCCCAAACTCTTGCTCAACTTGCTTTTCCTGTTGCTGGGCTCCTCCTCCCTCCTCTGGCTTAGACTTCCTGCCCCCACCCCAGGGTGGGGCAGTGTGGCACGGTGCACCATCAGGAGTTGAGGCAAAGGCTGGGGCTGCATGAGTGTATGATGCAGCAGTGGAGGGGGGAGCCTCTGTGGCTCCACAAGGAGGTAGCGGGGCACCACATAATGTGGGGAGGAGGATGCCCATGTAGACATGTGGTACAGGAGGGGGGAACCCGGGCAGGTGTACAGTGCAATGGTTAAGGTGGGCACCCACGCGGTGCACAGCTTCTGCTGGTGCAGCCCGCAGGGAGCGTGGCCCCCGCCACTTTGAACTTGGACAGCCCTGACCTAGAGTGGTAGGGGATTTTCTTCCATCTGCCTATAATACTTTTGGGGCCATATTCAGTCTCCATCACAGCCAGTGTCACTGTTTTCACAGGAGATTAGTTTCACTTCCACAAAACCGGGCCTGTTTCCCACCTGTGGAATGGACATCATAATATTTCCCCCCTTCCACTCCTTATCTGTGTGGATTGTGAGCTGTAGGAGCTAAGACTTGTGGTTCCACAATGGCGGGGAGGTTAGACTAGCCCAGGAGGCAGAAAGAGAGTCCAATTCAGCCAACATGGGCTGGTACCTTTATTGTTCTGAGCAGGGACACAGCCAAAAAGCAAACATGGTGCCTTACGAGGCACACAAAGTTACAGCTTTTAACAAATCAGTACCACATATAATAGCTAACAAACAATACAGCACACTAAGTGCTTACCACTTAGTTACACAGAGTCTAACACAAAGGGGCCAGTCTGTCAGAGCTTAGAGCTAATAGTAATTTAAATACTACCCAAGTAAAGTATGGAGATATTATGATCCCCATATGAAAGATGGGGAATCAAAGCCAATGTGAATTTCCCAAGTCCATGCAGGAAGTCACTAGCAGAAACAAATGAACCCAAACATACTGAACCCGGTCACCTGTTCTAAGATCTAAACTTCATGCCTGTGAATGCAATGCTTGCTCTGTTCAGCCTTGTCTTCTGCCCACTTTGCTGATAGAACTGAATTGAGCCAGGATAAAAAAAAGCATTTGTTTTCAGCGCCCCCTCTGCACCTACCCACGTTCTGTGCACTCCCGAGCCCGAAAGTGTCAGAGAAGCCTCTACTGCGCTGAGCTGTGCGATATTCCCATAGCCTCTGGACTGCTTGGCTCTTTTGCTGGGCAGTTCCCAGTGACATAGTGTCTCACACAGGGTGCACACAGTCTGGAATTTGCTCTTACATAAGCTGTACTTCTGCCCCCCCTGCAAGAGCTTGGAAGGCACTGAGATAATTCCCTGCTATTCTCTTTCATTTTCTGCTTCCCCCTTCTCCTTCCTACTGCCTCCCCCCTGCATCATACTTGTCAGCAATCCTACTCTCACTTGGATAATCCTGATGCTCACTTCACCTATCTGGTTAAAAATAAGAAGAGTCTTTCATAGCACTTATTTTTCACTGATACTAACATCTGTCATCTCATCCAAAATCTGGCTCAAGATAGGATATCATTTTGTTGTACCCCCAAGGACATGCAGTAAAACTTTTCTTCACTCCTCAGCATAACTGGGCTGTCCAGCAACTACTCTTGGCTTTTCCCTAGTGCTTCTGGACTTGTATTTTCTTCCTGAAGGACTTGGGTCTGTTACATGCATAGGTAGGTCTCATTAGCACCATTAAGGAGATGTGGGAGAACATTTTCTTATGAAAATATTCCCCATCAGAAAATGCGTTCCCGCCAAAATCAAAATCATCCACAGGTCAAACTAGGTGGACATTTTCTGACCTGGTAAACTAAAATGAAAAACACCACTTTGAATTCAGATTTTGAAATGAAACACCCTTTCCTGGGCTGAAATGAAAACATGGCATTTTGACTTGCCGGGTTGCATTTTGAGACTGACCCTTTGAAAACTCTCAGATTATTTTTTCATAGGGTTTTTTTTTCCTGACATTTTGACTTTTTGTTCTGATCCATAGCAGACAGTAATTTCAAACCATTAGAACTGCCTAAGAAAAGACAATTCCATCTTTTTTAACAGCTCTATTTTTCTTAATGAGAGCTTTGGTTTGGCAGGTAATCAGGAGACCAATGACAAACAGCTATATCCAGTCTTCCTTCTGCAGATAAAACAGATCTACAGGTGAGGAGCCAGACTCCTAAACAGTACTTGCATGTGAAACATTTGTAATAAGGAAAATACATTTAAAGAGTGTGTGTGTGTGTGTGTACACACACATATGTGCAAATTTAGTGCAGACTAAAAGCCACTGGGAAGCAGCAGGGTTGGCACCAAAGGCAATAATGACACTTTGGAATTAGAAGGCACTAGGTTGATACAAAACCCCTTGGAGTCTTTCCACCAGTTTTAATGGGCTGTAGGTCAGGTCTTTAAAAAAAGAAGCATCAGGACACTTAAGGAAAAGCCAGGCACCCAGCCACCCAGGAGATTTGAGTCGTAAATTAAATAACTTCAGTTACAAAGTCCAGGGAAAAGAACGCTCTGCGCCCTAAAGGCACGTCCAAACCTCACAATTTGTTCCCAGAGCTCAGACCCCAAACAGCTCTGCTATGAAACAGCTGTGGGATACATTCCAGAACGTCTTGGAGAGTGATGTGCAAATGCTTGTTACTCTGTAATTTCAAAGCAAATCAAAACTGAACCGTAGATCTTGTGAGGAGATATTTAGCAGGCCTTCCCGTGGAAGATCTTGGTGCAAAAGTGACATATTTTTGTGTGTAGATTATTATGCTGTAAACTTGCTGAATGTTCTGCAAAGCAAAAAAACCCAAACAAAACAAAAACCAAAAAAATCCAGACATGGAATAGAGCCTGCCCCGGAGAAGAATGTATGACGCAAGAAATAAAAGGGGAGGGGACAGAATAAAGAAGGACAAGAATTATAGTTATGACACTTGGCTGGACATGTGCACATCTTAATTGTAGTCTTACTGCTTTTAATATCAGTCCTTATCTGGGATGCACTTAGCCCAAGGCTGTATCCAGACAAATTCACTTTTTATATAAAAGGAGACTGACAGCTTTATGACTGGATGTAAAAGAAAGTTAGGAATAGGAGAATATGAAGGCACGCTCTCTTTGCATCTCATACTATTTGTGACTGCACAGAGCTGCTTTGATCACAGAGGAAAAACTGTGATTTGTATAATGTCCCTGTAGTCTGGGGTTTTCAGAAGAAGCTTGTGCTCAACCATATTCTTGAATTGCTAAATTATCTTTTTTGTGGACTATTTATGCTGGGGATAGAAAGCGGAGGCTTTGCACAGCCTTTGTTTGAATAAGACGAATAATTTTGTACTTGATCAAAGAAGAAATTTAGGTAATGGTGGATAGTATAGGTTGACATTTTTGGAGGGTTGAGGATATTTGGATATAGAGCAAAGATAAGCCAATTTGGTCAGGAAATATTTTCC